CCTAAGAACCATAGTTTAAGTCCATAAGGGACTAGGATTTCCTTATTGGGCCTAATGGACTGATAAGCATCCAATTCAACCATTTTGGGCTTGGAAACCCTATTTGGAGTCTAATTGGACCCACTTCTGTAAAACTTTGCATTTTGGGTCCTAAATAAATTAGTTTACCCTTAATGGGCCTTATTGGGCCATTAATGAATTAATTTGCCCTAATGGGCCATAAACTCCCTTTTTCTTTCAAAATGGGCCGTGAGCTATCCAATGAGCCCATTAGGCCAAAAAGTAATCATTGGGCCTCATAATCTCGAGTAAAGGTAAGATAAGTCCCAAACTACTCCACCCTTTCTCCTAGCCCAAGAACTCTCGGCCCATCATCAATAAAAAAATGAAAAATGAAATGGAAGGGGGGGTTGACTTTGGAGGTGCCACCTCTATAATACACACCATGTATCAAGGCATGGTCTCTCATGTTCCCATGCTAGTCACCTCACCACCTCTCTATCCCCTCTCTTCTTCTACTCTCGGTTAAGAGCCAAAACACACACACACACACTCAAAAATTCTCTCCAAACATCTCTAAATCATCCTCCTCCTTCCACCAAGATTTTCAAGGTTTTGCATGTGTTCCAAGAAGATCCTTCACTAATCTCATCAATCCTTGGTAAGGTCTTGTACACCTAAGTTTGATTACTTCATCCTTTAGCTAAATCACTCCATATTAACATCTATTTTGTGATTTTACTTCATAGAACTCTTTAAGTTCGAAATCTACTCAAGAAGCTTGCTAAGACCAAAAATCTCTCCATTTCTTCTTCAAAAACCGAAGCATCAAACAAAGGTGAGTTCATACCCCATTGTTTTTTGTTTTCATATGATTTTTGGGGGGAGAATGCAAGTAAAATGTGTAGATCTATGTGTTATATGCATGTTTTGTGTGAATTCTTAGTTTATTTGGTAAAAAAGTGCTAGATCTTAGCAAATCTCGAAATTTTAAGTATTATTAGAATGGATCTAAGAACTATGGCATTAAATGCATCAAACTAACAAGTTAAAAGTGTTACATGTTTGGGATGCAAAAGATTTCTACAAAAACCTTGTTAAATGTTAAATATTGTCAAGAAAATAAAAGATAAGGGAAAAAAGTGACAATTATGTTTTTATAGGGACCAAACAGGTCCTAATTTTATAAAAATGGATTTTTATGATAAACATACTTTCCAAAGGGCCAAAAATATAAATTTTAGCTTAACGGGCCAAAACTTTTAGGCCTCACAGTTTTGTGCCCAAATTGCGAAAAAAATGAGGTTTCGGGGATTAAAAATGTAAGTTGGCCAAAGTTTGAATCATAAATGTAAATAAACCAAATTTAGGGGTGAAAATAACATTTATTTTCAATTTGGACCAAAAAAGATTTTTTTTCCAAATTGGGCCGAAAGTGACAACTTTTGCAAACAAGAGGTTGAAAATACAATTTTCTGCAAAACTAGTCCATAAAGGTCAAAATATAAAATTTTGGATTAAATTTGTGAGTTTCTAAACATTTGGGACAAAAATGAAAATTTTATAAATTATGGACTAAAATGCCATTTTTACAAAACTTTTGGCCTTAATTGAAAAATTGTAGGATTATTTACCAAAAATGTCATTTTTACAAAAAGAAAGCTTCTTAACATCAATCTAGTAAACCTCGAGCTAAAACAAACAACTGAACAAAACAAATGAACAAATTACGTCGATAACTATTTATTGGACTGAATATTCACGTTACTTGGCCATTTGGCCCTACGGGCCCATTTGAGCGTATATTATGTCCAATGTTTTCCATGACATGTTTATTGGGCCTTGCGACCTACTTACATGTTAATTTGGGCCTAGGTTATTGGGTTACATGTTTATTGGGCTTTTGTGGCCCATTTACATGCCTATTGGGCCCAAATTACCCTCTCATGTTATCGGGCCTTGTGGTCCATTTACATGCTAATTGGGCTTGGAATGGAATTCTTATGCTAATGGATTGTAACTTTACCTTTTGCGTAATCATTAAACTTCATACACTTATATATGTACTATCTGAATTCGAAAAACATACAGCATATACATAAACATTAAACATAGTACAAAGGGTTGAGAATCTAGTGAGACTTGTCGGTTGGCACCCCTGAGTGTACAATCGTAGCCTGTAGTTATAATCAGAGTTTCCTGGTAGGAAAGTGAGAGTTTGTGTATAGATCTATACAGGGTGACCCCCCACGCCTTAGCTGTTCGCTGTAGCTAGACTAGGGCGACAAAATCTTTAGCAATAGCGACATTTGGAAAAATGCAAAGACGGGCAACCTAGTCATTTCATGCATGGTTGTAACAGCTTATACAGGGATTCAATACCAAAATTTAACCCGTCAAAGATAAACTCTTCGACTGTGTCAATGCAAAACAACTTATTTAACGAAACAAGAATCTAGGCTTTATTATAAAACATAAAATATCGGATTTTCTGAAGAAATTATTCATATACATTTATCAATTATTCACTAAACAATGAATCCAAACTACACTTACACAGGTTATAACTATGAAACTCACACATGCATTATATACTTGATTTTCACATTATTTTCAGACATGTTACAGAAAATATCGGATTTTCTTGGTTTTTATGAAAGATACAAGGACTTTACTCAAACATACTTATCAACTCACCAACATTATATATGTTGACCATTTTCAAAATAACTTGTATTCTCAGGTAATCGTTAAGCTGGAAGATTTGCAAGTGTGTATGGTTTTGTTTTATGTAATAGTACTTATCGTACTTTTAACAATTGGAACTTATGTATTATAACAACGTACTTGATGTAAACAATGTTGGTTGTGTTATGTAATGATGGTGATGAATGTGTTATGTTTCATGTATATTTATTGTGATGATTATTCAATTGTTAGTCACACGAGCCCCCGGACATTTCCGCAGTCTGGTTCGGGGGTGTGACAGACGAAACCTCTTGGACTGAAACCCCTCTCACTACGAACCTTATTGGATGCGAACTCCTCCCTGCTACGAACTTTCTCGGTAGCCTCGCATCTTCGCTTCTTTTTCCCGATTTTTGACCAGTTTCGCATTTCGAGCCCATTTTTGATGCTTTTGATGTGGGATTCTCACCCAAATCCATATTTTTGACATCTTAGACCCTCTAAACTCATATTTTATCCCCATTTTGAATATCTATTTAATATAAATCATATTTTGCTTAGGATAATATCAAGGGTACATAAATGATCTCTTTGAATTTTCTCACAAAGTTATGACACCAACCACACTTTATGTCGACTTTAAGTCACTATTAACATCTAGCTAGTCAATTCATTAAGCTTCTTCAACACTCTTCCCATCCAATGAACCTTTATAAACAAATCCAAGAGATTTGTTTCACTTCTCATCCAAGATTTCACTCTTCACCAAAAGCAAACTCTCTCTCCCTCTCTCTCTCTCTCTCTCACTCTCTCTCTCTCTCTCTCTCTCTCACACACACACTCTCTCTCTCTCTCTCCCTCTCTCTCTAAATCACGATTTTCCCTAGGAGATTCTTAAGTATTTCCTCCATTTTTGGTAAGTATTTTCCTTTAACTTGTATACAATCTTCACATCTTTATATAAATCATGGATCATTTACACAAATATCAACATATTTGTTCTTAGGATGTACAAATATTCAAGCATCTTTCAAGTGTTCTTGACTTGAAACTCCCTATCTTCAACCTTTCACCACAAGAAATCACAAAACGTGAGTTCATACCCCTACATTTTCATGTTTTCTTTAAGTTTTAAAAGGGGGGGGGGAATACAAGTTACAACACCAAAACATATTCTAAACTCAAACATCAGCTTTCAACAGAAACGTTATGGTCTATTCACGAATTGTTTTGACCATCTTAAACTTAATATTTTTAAAAATTGTTCAATGCAAATAGATAAGGTTTATACCTTTCTAATTACTACTTGAAATCATTCATACGATTTTTATACAATTTATGGTCAAAGGAACCAAGGCCGGTCTATTGGTTGGATAACCTGATATTCTTGATACGTTGAGTATGGAATGGATATGCATGCTAGTCATGATATGTTGGCCTGGTAGATTAGTAGGATTACATGTGATTCTATTTGCATGATTACATGTATGTGTTTGTTAGCTTTAAGCATATGGTGTTGGGTTGAGGTTATACTGCTTCGTGTTGTAACCAACAAACCTTAGAGCAATCCATATATGAGCTGAGGGAGGGGTACGACATGCTAGACTGATATTGAAGGCTCAATGACATTCCAGATACGAGCTGAGGACCTGGTTAGTATGCCAGACTCATACTGAGGGATTGAGGGTATTGGAGCAATCCGGATATGAGCTGAGGACCGGGTATGGCATGCCAGACTCATACTGAGGGCTCAGTAGCATTCTAAACACGAGCTAAGGACCCGGTTGGTATACCAGACTTGTACTGAGCGCTGAACATTTGTATTCCAGTCCGATGATTGATTAGATTAGAGCAAGCCAAACATAAGTTATGGGCCATGGGGCCAAGCTAGGCTTATGTTGTGGGCTCAAGAGCAAGCCAAATATGAGCTGTGTGCCCGTTATGTGATCCAGACTCATAATATGGGCTCAGGGTTAATCCAGTCTCTTAGCTGTGGACCTAATTACAAACTTTGGGGGAACTAACTAAGCCTTGTGCTTACATTTTTGTTTATGGTTTCAGGTTCTTCAGATGATTCGTAGCAAGGTGAAGGTGTGACCGTACACATCTTTTGTTTTACATCAGATTGGATCTTGGGAGACTCTAGTTTTAAATCAAGTTCTGGAAACAATGTTTTTGTAAACACCTTTGTTAATAAATGATTTGCTTTGAAAAGTTTAAATTTGTTGAAAATTTTGGGATGTTACATCAACGCCTCCATCCTTACTAAGATAGAAAAGTTGCAAGAGGACTTAGCCATAGAAAACAAGATTATGGATCAGTTGGCAGAAAAGGCTCAGAAGGCCAAGGTCCTTTCGATAAAGCTGCAATATACCAACAAGCATATGGATGATTTGAAATCTGAGAAAACAATTATCAAAATCTGTGTTTCTGAAATTAATCAGTACTTGCATCTCTTTGTGGAGACTCGTGACTCCTTATTCACAGTCTCCGTTTGACAACAACTTTCGGACAAACCGCACCCAGTCTTTTCTATGCTAAATCCGATAAAAGGTGTTTCAGGAAGTGGTGCTCTTCTGAAACAAGGGGGAGGGGAAACAAAGAAGAACCCCAGACAAAGCAAACAACTAAGGAACATGAACAAGAACAAAAACTGAATTCTAATGATTAGAAGGGTAATGAAGCTTCTGCATCAAACAAAGGGAAAGAGAAACTTATTTGTGATGAAGAAGACGAACTTTCTGAATGAAAGATGCTTGTGCGAAAAAAGATAGACAGGGAGCTGGATGATCTTTTGAAACTACAGAGGAGTTAGAGGCACAATAAGAGGAGGCAAAGATTGCGAAGATCATGCTTAAAACTCAAAATTCACTCTTCCCACCATGGTCAATTGATAGAATTCAGAAAGAGGATATTGATGATCCAAGCGCCTATTGGCTTGAGCCTTAAGTATCTTTTGAGCTAAATAACAAGGCATATTCTTAATTTGATTTCCCCATTACTCCTAGGACCTTTCTATTTCGGTGTTTTGACAAGGTTGAAAAGGCATTGATTTCGGACAAAGCGGTGAATCTGAAACTCTTCAATTTCCAGTTGAAGTATGCCAAGCCTCAATATCAGACTTGGAGCTTAAAGAAGATTATTAGGTTGAAGGTTTGCTCAGCTGTGCCTACTGAAGATTTTACAAACATCAGGTTCAAGGGATTTTGGGGAACAGATAAAGTTTTGGATGAATTCACTTTGACAGATTTTCCGTTTATGAATCCCTTTGATTGGGTTTTTTTGTTCAATATCATTTTAAAGGATGAAAAGAAATACGAGCCAATTGTTGCACATCTTAAAAGAATGTTCATCTGCTACATTCAAGAAATTGCGAAAATAGATGTAGAGATTGCAATAGTTCTGAAGAAAATGCCACTTATGAAGCTAGAAGAGGAATCGTCAGATCTTCCGAAGCAACGACTGGAAGTTATCCAAAAGGAGCACTATAGCTCAAGCATGTAAGGCAATAATTCTGCCGATCTAAAATGCTTTCCGGATATGATCCAATGATATCTTGTTATCCAAAACACGCTTTTGAAGTTGATGCCGAAACTATTCAACATGCAGAAAAGTCAACAATAGATAATCTCATTTGGATTTTGACACAAAGGGGAGATTGTTGGGCTTAATAGTGTTGTGTTAAATTATATGCATAGTATAGTTTGTTTTATTCTAGTTTGGGCCTGTCCATTTTGGGATCTGCCTTATTACTTTAGACTATGTATAATGCATGCATGTACCTTTAGGGTTAACGCTTAAAACCCTAATTGTCGTACTTACACTTTTACAGAGAAGTTCTTGAGAACTCTTCTATAGTCAACTAATCAAAGCATCTGACACTCTTTTGATCTTCATTGCTCTTGCCTTTAATTCACTTCATTATTATAGAATCTTTCGATCTTATTTATTGTTCTCACACAAAAGGCACGTTGAGTCTCTATTAACATCCCTTATATAATAGAAAGGTGTAAGCTTCATCCTTCGTTAGCTTAAATTTGCATGCTTCATCCCTTGCGAGACATGAAATGACTAAAGTGCCCTTTGAAATTTTTGTTTCATTTATTTTTGATATTTCTGATTACTTTTAATTATTAAAAAATATCTTAATTAAAATTACGCGGCCACCTAACACTTTTAAAGTGCTATCTCTTTTGTTGAAGAATGCTTAACACCCACCATCACCGAAAATATACACCACCACCGGGAACTTGCACAACTTCCACCGAAAACCTGCACCACCACCATAAATCTACGTTCATCTCACTTCACCTTACCCTACCCCACCAACTCCCCGGTTCAAAGCTCAAGACTACCATCCTCTTTCCATCGATCCACATGTCTCACCTCTTACTTATATAACATATCTCCCGAAAAATAACCACAAACTACCACCCCCTTCACCATCACGACCCTCCTATACAAGCACCAGCTTACAACATCCCCCTTCGAACAAGACATGTCATCACTCCATCATCACTACTAGAAAACACACCTTCATAGTCAAACACGATCTGCACCACCTCCATTACTATCAACAACCACCAATCAATAAAATTTAAAATATAAAAAATAAAAAGGAAACCAATTTTAGAAGCTCAAACACATAAATTATACCAAAAAATCATAAACCAATTATGGTGCAAACAATCCAAAAAAAAAAAAAAACACAAAACCTAGCTCTGATGTAATAATCTTGGAAAAACCACAAACCTAAATCTACTCAGAATTAAGGCAAAATCTTTTTGGTTAAATTGAAAATCCAAAGTCAGTTTGCTCAAATCTAACCATAAAATACACAACCCCTCAATCATATTTTGAATATAGGTTTACTATGGTGGTTTATTTCGAACAGAGAAAAGAGATATCGTAACATAACCGCTCGCATCGTTTGAAAAATCATTTGATACCATAGGGATATAGAGGAGTAGATCAAAAATATCGAAGAGATTGAAAATTAAGGTGATGATGACTTTAGAGTTGCAGGTTTCCGATGACAGTGACGACTCCAATGAAGGGTTGAGGTGCAGATCGATGGATTGAAAGTTGAGTTTAGAGGAGATATAGATAGATATAAGATGTAGATAGACTGGTGGCTTTAGGTCTTAGGTCAGAAGGAAATGGGTAAGGGGTATGTATTTTATTTTATTTTTTTAATATAAAAACTGATAAATAAATAATAGAAAAGTATAAAAGAGATTATTAAGGTAATAATCATTTTATGTCCTTAAGGACGACCCGGGTGGATAAAAAATAATACATGGACGATCTGAATTAACTTTTAAAAATAAAGACTAAACGTACCTTTTTGGCACAAACACAAGAAGTGGTTTACGTAATTTACTCTAAAATGTTATAACTAAAATGTTAGACTTTAATCTCAAAAACAAAAAAAAATGATGTTACTTAGAGGGTTGTAAATAAAATCAATCATTGGTCTCTCAATATGACATGATTTTTATAGTTTTAGACCTAAAATGTTTGTTCTCTTGCAATTATGGTTTTTATATAAGGTATTTGTAATATTCTTGGCCATTTCTACAAGAAAACAAAAAATTTATTTGGATCAAATTTGAAAAAAATAGTTTAACTTAATCATTTACACAAAAAACATTATGAAAATATTAAAGGGTAAATTACACCGGTCGTCCCTTGTACATATATCAAAATGCACGTTTGGTCTTTATTTTCAAAAATTAACTCAAACCGTTCCTCGGATCGTTAAAAGGTGCATGTTGTGTCCCTCACATACATACAATGACTATCTTGCCTTTTTTTCTTATTTATTTATTTTTTAATTGTTTATAATCTATCTGTTATTTTTTTATGAATTATAAGTTTTAGAAAAAGAAACATCCCCTTAAGTTGGTTCCAACCACTTTGGCCATGAAACACATTCATCTATTATCATTTTATCACTTTCGGTTACCCATGACCTCCGACCACCATCCACTGCCACCGGAAGCTATCGGAAATACCGCTTCTCTCCATTTCTTTCTTTCTCTCTCGTAGGTCTCTCTCTCTCTCTCTCTCTCTCTCTCGCAGGTCTCTCTCTCTCTCCCCCCCCCTTTAAACTCTGGTAGCTCCCCGTATCACCTCCAACACCTCCTAAACCACTACCAGTTGACTACCATCGGAAACCACACCAAACCAAGCCTTTAATCAACAACAAACAGGCTGTGGAACTTGATCTGAAAACCTAGGCGATGACTATAGAGCTCGGAACTCGGGTGACGACGTTAAAGAACCCTCAGATCAGAACCTTGAAATCATGAAGGTGACGATGGTTTAAACCCTGAGACAATGAAGGTTCGAAACATCTCACCTCTAAGACAAAAATAGTGCACATCGTCCTCCAGATATATGAGCGTTGATGAACTACCATCTCTGGAAAGCAGTGGTGTCCTGATGTTTTTGTGAGTTGATAGCGAAAAATAGAAAAAAAATGGTATTAGGTTAGGATTTTAGGGTTAAGTAGAGTGGGGTGGGGTTGTAATGTTTTTATTTTCTCTTTACTTTAAATACAAATTAATTATAATCAAATCAAAAATAGAACAACAAAAACATTATATGTCTGATAAAGAATACAACGTGCAAATTTACGCTAACAAGGAATGCAACGTGCATGTTTTAAATAAACGAAGAATGATTTAGCTAATTTTTGAAAATAAAGATTAACGTATATTTTGACATATAAAAGATAATTTACCCAATATCAAATTAATACCAAAATTTCAAGAATTTTTTAAGAAACAAAAAGTTACAAAATTTAGTTATCGTTGTTTAAGTGACCAAAAATATTTATTCTAAATTATACATGTGGGACAACAACCTACCTAGTTCTTACAAAATAATCTGAAAAGAACCGATTCCTTGACAAAGTTTGTCAGCAACCCCATTTTTGGGGAAACGTTAAAGACCCTCCAGTGGACTTAACACGTCTTTTACCATTTCAACATCTTCTCTCTACTTTGATCAGTGGTGGCTGTGGTATTAAGATCCCATTCATCTTCTTCCATGGCTACTGTTCAACCTTATGCCCTTTATGATGTTTTCTTAAGTTTTCGAGGTGAAACTCGTAAGAATTTTACAGATCATCTTTATACAGCCTTGAAGCAATCAGGAATCCGCACTTTTCGGGATGATGATGCGATGGACAGAGGAAAACTGCTGAAGCCAGAGCTAAAGAAAGCCATTCACAAGTCTGCAGTTTCACTTATTGTCTTCTCAAAAAGCTATGCATCCTCGAAGTGGTGTCTCGATGAGGTTTTGATGATTATTGAAGAACACGAGAGTTTATCCTCTAAGCATGAAGTCATACCTGTGTTCTATAACGTGGAGCCATCTGATGTTCGAAACCAAAGAGGAAGCTTTAAAGAAGCATTTGATGGGTATGATGATATAATCAAGGCGGAAACAGATCATCAGAAGAAGAGAGAGTGGTTGGAGAAGGTAGGGGCATGGAGGGATTCTCTTAGAAAAGCTGCAACCTTCACATGAATGGTTTATAACGATGGGTACGCATGCTCCCTATTATCTGTATAGATTCCATAGAAACAACTATAGATTGGTATAAGATATGTAGAGTTAGATCTTCTATTCAAAAAAATCCTTAGAGGAGGAGGGTTATATAGATGCAGACAACACCTTATGTAGCATATGTGCGATACTAACACACCCTAAGGCCCTATGAGAATCAATAAGATTAGAATAGACGTGTTAGCTATATACCATGTTAGGGTATCCATATGCATTGAACTTTATAAAGTTAAATGGATTGTCATATTATCATTTTATATTCTACTAAATTCTATCAATTTTTTTTTTCTACAATGTATTCAACTCTACAAGATTCAAGAAATATATTTAGATATTTATTTAAAAGTGTGTTAACTACATACCACCCATGATGCATTAAACTTTATAAAGTTAAATTGATTGCCATATTATCATTTTATATTCTACACAACTCTATTAATTTTTTTTTTCTACAATGCATTCAACTCTACAAGGATCAAGAAATATATTTAGATATTTATTTAAGAGTTAGAATTTTTTTTTTCCGGTTAAATGACAGTTGAACACTAAATCCATTCAATACCAATGTGGCATCTCGCAATGATATAGTTTTATCTACTGAATGACAATTAGATTTGCAACCTCATTTAAGTCTCCTATTAAACTCTCCATTGTGGATGCTCTTAGATTGGTATAAGACATGTGCATATACATATTTTCTTTCCAAAAGAGCCCTTAGGGAGTGAGATAAAAGAAAACTAGGGTATGCCGTGTTCTCAAAATATGTGCGTCAAAGGGTATGCGATATTAATATTTTATATATAATATTTTGTATAAATTAACGCTTTCAGGGAAAATTTTATGTGTATGTAGTTGCTAACACTTGTTAAATAAATATAGTAAACTCCAATATATATATATATATATATATATATATATATATATATATATATATATATATATATTCATGTGACCCTATCTAACCAATTGGGATACTGAGATGTTCCGTAAGATGAAGGCTTGATGAGATTGGAATATATGTGTTGTGCCCTTGTAGTTCTAGATGCTAGCTGGCTTTGATATCATGTGATAGAGACCTGTTAGAGTAGGTCAAACTCCCAGAAAAAGGAAAAAGAAGAAGCAACACAGTTAATCAATTTTCTCTATTTTTTCATTTCATACGTCTAAAAGGAACTTACAATTATTTAAAGAAACTAGAAAACAAATACAACTAGGAAAAGAAATGGTCGGAGACCTTATGCACGCATCAAGTGGGTTATTATCTAGCCACTTCTATTGGCGGTAATGGAAAAAGACTAAGTCAACTAGAACTACTTCTGATGCAACGTTCCTTCCAATTGTCAAGTATTTTAACGGGTTTGTGGGTATGGGTCAATGGGTTTCTGGATCGTATCAATACCCCGCCCATGAGAAGTGACCTTGTCCTCAAGGTCTAAAATGGGTGCTGCCATGGGGCGTGGAAGTGATCCCTACAAGGTGACGGTATTGCGGCCATGCTGAAAGATGAGTGAAGGAACTGAAAAATTGGCTGTAAGCGGACCTAAGGAGCGTAACCAGTCGAACCCGAGTATAATATTGAAGCCTTTGAATGTCAACACAAACAACTTAACCGAAAATGAAGCTTTGTTGAGTGTGAGGGGAACGTTGGGGCAGTAGCCGTTGCAAAGTAGTGGGTCATCATTGCCAATGAGGACCAGAAATGGCGATGCAGGCTGGACCAGAAGGTGCAATTCAGCAGCTATGTTGGGCTGCATCAGGTTATGAGTGCTGCCAGAATCCTCCAGAATTTGAAGCGGTGTGAGGTTATGTAGTGACAAAGAACATGGTTTGGCATGCGGAATTAAAGCTTGCACAATTTGAACATGGTGATTTGGGTGCTAAAAGATATATTCGATCATAGTAAATGAGTACAAAAAGGGATCTAGTCTAGAGCTTCATAAATATCTCACTCACTAATCACTATGACTACATCTCTCAAGCACACCTCTACAAGTGGACAAACCCACCTTATATAGAGGTGTTTGCATGTCTCTCTCTCACTCTAACTAACAAATGGGTCTAAAGGCAAATACTCCACATGCAAGTGGGTTTTACAAAAGTCAAACATTTACAAAGTCAATCATGAATAACTTTGCACCCCAACAGGTTGACAAAGCCTATAAGACGTAAAGCTGAAGTAGGTGTAATTCCATAAAATGTTGTTGGGGATAGAGCCAGAAAGTGGGGAAGGTCATTTGCCTCCTGAAGAACATGAAGATGTTGTTGTGCAAGAGGTTGGGGAACTTCCACTTCATTGTCAGCTATAAGAAGGAATTGTGGTAGATCACATTTTGTGGCCGGGGTGGTACTTTTTAGGGCATCGAAAACAAAGACCTGAGGCACAACGTTGTTAGAGCTTCTCAGGCGACAAGCGGGCAGTAGGTAAGGTGGTGGTGGAGGACACCAGAGCCGGTAGTAGTCGGGGATTGTGTGGCGCTATGGGGAAAGAGATGGGGGATGGGACTATAGAGGACAACGGTGTGGGATCAGTTGGAGAAATGGGGGAACAACTAATTTTGTCTTCAATTAATTTAGACAACCCATATGCTTGATGTAGGGTAGTGGGTCGTAGCACAGCTAGTTCCGTTTGGAAGTCTTGGGTAAGGCCCGAGAGATAACAGTTAAGGAGGGACTCATTGGGGAGCCCGGTGACTCGGTTACACAGCTTCTCGAAGGCAGCTTGGTAGGCGGCGACAGTGGTGACTTGTTTGAGTTTGAAGAGAAAGGCTTGGTGGTTTTCATAATATGATGGACCGAACCGGAGTTCGAGAGACCGTGAAAATTCTGGCCATGTTCCTAGATGTTGGTTGTTGGCAATGTATTTATACCAACTCAAGGCATCCCCGGTGAAGTAAAACTGTGCCAAAGAGAGGCGTTGTGGTGGTGGAACGGAGTAACACGTGAAATAGTTTTCGGCTTGAAAAAGCCAGTCGAGGGGGTTAGATCCATCAAAGGTTGGGAGATGAATTTTTGGTGGCCGGAGGTTGGTTTGCGGTGGTGGTGGTAGCGGCGGCGGTGGTGGTGGTCCGCTGATGTTGTTAGCGAGGAGGAGTTGGACAAGGTTGAGCATGGTGTCAGTTTGTTTGGCAATATTAGTGGCTTGGGTTCCAAGATGAGAAGTGATGGTGCTAGGCGGTGGTTGGTGGCCGTGGAAAGATGTATCAAAGCGGCCTTGGGGTTTTCGGGTGTGGCCTTGGTGGTGTCGGAGGTGGAGCAGGACTTAGTTTTGGGAGGCTCGAAGATGAAGATGAAAGCACCAAATTGATAGAGACCTGTTACAAGGAAGAAGAAGAAGCAACACAGTGAAGCAATTTTCTCTATTTTTTCATTTCATACGTCTAAAAGGAACTTACAACTATTTAAAGAAACTAAAAAACAACTACAACTAGGAAAAGAAATGGTCAGAGACCTTATGCACGCATCAATGTGGGCTATTATTGGCACTAATGGAAAAAGACTAAGTCAACTAAAATTACTTCTGATGCAACGTTCCTTCCAATTGTCAAGTAGTTTAACGGGTTTGTGGGTTTGGGTCAATGGGTTTCTGGATCGTATCATCATGTTTGATTGGTATAAGATATGCTTAGTCCTAAATCGTCTCTCCAAAAGAGCCCTTACTAGTATAGCAGATGTGGGGCACTAATAGAGAGTTTAATTGCTTTAACTTGATCTTTTATAGGTATGAGGCCGAATTCATAATCGACATCGTCAATGTTATAAGAAAAAAACTGGACTACAAGGCCCTATACATTGAGGACAAACTAGTGGGAATAAGGGACAATGTTGCTGCGATTGAATGCTGGTTACAAGATCCATCACCAAATGCAGTCATCCTTCTCATTGATTGGATGGGAGGCATAGGGAAAACAACCATTGCCAAATGCATTTATAACTCAAATATTTTTAAGTATGATGTCAGTTGCTTTCTCGCAAATATTAATGACACATCAAATCAACCTGGTGGACTGCTTCGCTTGCAAAGTCAGCTTCTTTCCACAATTCTAAAGACTAAAAGGGAAGAAACCATATGGAACGTGCATGAAGGAACCATTAAGATTACAAATGCCATATGCAACAAAGCTGTGCTTCTTGTCCTAGATGATGTTACAACATTGCAACAGTTAGTAGCATTACTAGGACCACAAAGCTTTTATCCTGGAAGTAAAGTGATCATAACAACTAGGCACAAGTGGTTGTTAACTGCTTTCAAAGTTCATCCTAAGGTTCAGTCTGTTCAAACGTTATCTACCCATGACTCTATTGAGCTCTTCAGCTTATATGCGTTTAATCGAGATCAACCCATTGAACCCTACACTGTCCAATCAAAACTTTTTGTTCATCATTGCATGGGTCATCCTTTGGCTCTTAAAGTATTGGGTTCTTCCTTACATGGAAACACAAAAGACGTTTGGGAAGATACAATGCGCAAACTGCAAGTAGTTCCTAATCCTGAGATTCAGAAAGTTCTACAAATAAGCTTTGAAACTTTATCAGATGACAAGGATAAAGATTTATTCTTGCATGTTGCTTGTTTCTTTGAGGGCGAGGAGAAAGAGTACATTGTGAAACTATTGGCCCAGTGTGATCTATACCCTGTGGTTGGGATCAAGAATCTGATGGATAGATGTCTGCTAAATGTTGAACATGGGAGAGTAACGATGCATCAGTTAATCAAGGAGATGGGGCGAGAAGTTGTACGCCAGGAATCACCAAAGGATCCTGGGAAAAGAAGTAGATTGTGGCAAGATGAGGATTGTTTTAATGTGTTACGTGACAATTCCGTATGTTTACATGCCCATTTTATATATCATTACATAGTTTATCGTGCCGTTGAGCCACGGTTTACCTTTTTTTGAATTTTTTGATTAGGGTACAAAAAAAGTAGAAGGACTCATGCTTGATATGCTAAATATGAAGGATGCTAAATCAACTTCAGCTATAACGATAAATAATCTAGGGAAACGTAGCTTTGAAGAATATCTTGGCAAAACAAGGTATGGAAATGATGCAATTCTCAAAAGTCGTGCACTGGAAAAGATGAAGAATCTAATGCTACTGCAGCTAAACTATGTAACTTTTTCCGGGACATGCAAGAAGTTGCCCAAAAAATTACGACTGTTGAGGTGGCATGGATGTTCTCTTGAAGCTATACCAGGTGACACTTCTTTGGAGAAGTTGGTGATTCTTGACATGAGTGACAGCAACTTAAAGCGTGTTTGGGATGGTTTCAAGGTATATCTGTCTTCTTGAATCACCTTTTCATTTATATTTATATGGGAAGTTCTTGATATATAATTGTGTTTTTCATGTCACAGTTCATTGGATCCCTACAAATCCTTAATCTTAGCTATTCTAGTGAGCTAATTGAAACCCCAGATTTTGTTGGACTCCCCGGTCTGGAGAGATTGATACTAACAGGTTGTACTAGTTTAATCAAGATTGATGAATCGATTGCATACCTTAAAGAACTAGTCTTGTTAGATCTAACCAATTGTAGAAACATAAGAGATATTCCATGCTTACCTAGATCCCTTGAATCCCTTCAAATGTCTGGTTGCCCAAACATTGCATTTCCCAGACAGGTTCGATGCTTGGAATTAATTTCATCATTTTCTCTTTTGAAGAATATGGATTTATCAGATTGCAATCTCTTGGACGATTCTTTCCCAAATAACTGGAGTGGTTTGGTTTCACTTGTGTATTTAAATATAGATGGCAGCAAAGTAACTTCCTTACCAAAATGTATTCAAACCCTATCTAAAATCCGAACCCTTAGTGTTGAATGCTGTTCAAAAATCCAGTCAATTCTAGGTGTCCCAGAATCCGTCGATACATTGTATATCAGGAACAATATATCCTTGAAAAAAGTACAGCCTGCACCAAATTCGAGGACCTTAGTGTACCATGATAAATGCGAAAATTTGTGTGACATGGTGGGTCGTTATAAGCTTCAATCAATAGAGAAAGTTGAGAGGAAAATTATACGATATCTAGGCTTAGAGTTAAATGCAGTTCAAGGAATGGAGTTGGGTCTTGAGGTGCTTTCTCTTTCTCTATCTCTATCTGTCTCAGGTTTCCATATTTGTTTGGGTTAAATACAAGAAATAACAGTGCATTTATTAAAGCATCTTACTTCCAGTTCTTGCTATTATGGCATTGTGAAAAGTTACTCAGATATATCAGTGTCTTTCAAATACAAAGCAAACTTGAGTTCGTAGATTTTTTATTAACATGCCTTGATAAGAAGAAATTGAAAGCAAAATGCTAGCTAGGATTAATTGGTTAGATTTCTGAAAAATAATAATCCCTTAAGAAGGAAAAAACAGAAAGGATAATGCTGTAATGGAAATAAAGAAAAGTATGATGCTATAATACCTGAATAAATTAAAGTATGTGTCTATTTCTTGCATTTAACCCTATTCTTTTTATAAGCTAATCTTGAGAATCAAACTAAATAACAAACGGTGTGTCTGTCACAGGTGTTACATGAGTTTGGTATATTCAGCACATTTGTTCCAGAAGAACAAATCCCTTCCTCCTTCATGTTTAACAAAAAGGGGCCAAAATTTTCATTTAAAGTTCCCTGGCATCATAATAGTTTGAGAATAAGTGGCTTCAATATGTGTGTTCTTCTTAATCAATTACCCAGTTTTCCGTATATGGAGATTGAATTACATAATGAGACTAAGGATTTGGTGTGGAACTACATTAAAGGAGATCGGGATGTGCCAAAGGGTGTCAAAAACATTGCATGGTTAAGCCTTTGGAGGTGTGGGAATATATTGGAGGGTGGAGATGAAATTGTAATAAGCATTAACAATGTGGCAGTAGAGGCATGTTGTATAAACTTAATATATGAAGATGATGAACAACTTGATGGGGAAGGAAGCAAGGCTCATCGTGTCTTAGCACTTGATCAAATTTCATGGAGTGATAGAATGCATAAAGATATATCAGATTACGCTTATAGTGGAATGAGGCATTCATTCAAAAGTGATAACTGGAGTTACTAGCATACTTACAAGAAGACAAGACAGTTGGTGTAATCCGCCAAATTAATCTTGAATTGTTGACTATCAAGTCTAATGATCATTTGACTATTAAAGGAATGGTTTCTAACTTTCTATGCTATTTGTATGGTTTAGGGTTAATTCATTTTTACAAAGTACTTTATTTTTACCCATAAAGAACAACCAACTTGCATTTTTTTTTACGGATTTAGGCGGTATGTAATGTGTTTGACAGGTCACCGGTCAATTTTTCTTGCTGACTTGTAAAAGTTGCGTGTCGATGTGTCATTTTTTTTTTCAATTACCTTAAATAATATGTGGCAGTTAACATTCAACAAAAACAATACTCAAATCTCATAGGAATGGGGTAAGAAAGAGGTAAGGACATGGTCATTACAGGTAAAATTTAAAGTACACTGCATTTTTTGTCTCAAACACATCGGTGGCAACCTATGTTGTTTTGTCATATCCTGTTTTGACTGAACTGATCGCCATTGTTATTGCAGTTGTTGTCTTGGTTGGATACTCCATCAGACCATCAAGTTCTGTTATGAGGTTAATAAAAAAATTTGAGTAAATTACAGTTTTAGTTTTGGTGTCTGTGTTGTATCATTTGTTATATATGGTCCTGAAAAGGAACCGTTTGTGTCGCCTTTTCTATCCCTATGTTATTGTTTCTTAACATTTTTTTTGGCCCAGGAGCGTTTAAGTTAACATCTCATTCAACTTTTATTAACATGACCAATCTTCTCTTATTTTCATTTTCATTTAATATTTCTATTATAATTAAAATTAACCAACCCCAACCATTCAGTGAATGAGCTACCCTGAATGACATTCACCTTCTTCTTTCCCAAAGTCACAGCCGCTGCTCGAATGAATTCCCCTGGAAGCCTATATTTTAGAAGCTCACACGATTTATGAGGATTTTGATTTCTTTTTATTATTGATTGTGGATTTTGATTTCTGCATGTTCTTTGATTTGAAAAAGGGAGGGTTTAATTGAGACTACTTCCACGGTGAAAAGTTAGATTGCAAAAAAACAAAAAAACAAACAAACAAACAAACGATTACAAAAGTTTGATGGAACAACCCACTAGTTGATAACTTATCTCAACATACATGTCGTACATATTATCACTTTCTTTAGATTTTTTTGGATAAAAATGTAACGCCCCGATTCTTATGTATTAATTTAAATAAGAATTTCTTTGGTTTTAAGTCCAACTCGACGAGTTGGTTGCCCTACTCGTCGAGTAGCAGCGGGGTGAGATCGCGTGTTTAGTGACCTACTTGCCGAGTCCATGAAGGGACTCGACGAGTAGGAGCTGCCAGATGAAACCCTAAATCCCAAGGTTTTGCACCCTATTTAAAGAGGCTTAAGCCTCCTTTGGTCTCTTTGCAGTCCTTGAGAGCTCATAGAAACCCTAATTTGTGTGGTGCTTCATTCTTGTGTGTCTTGAGCTTTAGAAAGAAGGTTTTTGGAAAGGAAGAGCTTGGAGGGCAAGAGACTAGGAGCAAGGAAGGTGTGGGAATCAGAAATCTACCTCAGTTAGCATCATTTGGAGGTATCAAGTCGCCACCTTTACCTCATTTTCCTTCTAGACCTCATTTGGTTGAGATCTAGGGTTTTTATGGTTTGATTGTGATGATATTGTGAGATATGAGCTAGATCTGAAGTTGTAACTTCAGATCTGGACCCTTCTTGGGGTCCTAAAGTCATAAAGCTCCAAGTTTGGCCATGTATGAAGCTTTCCTTGAGTATGAAACCCCATTGTGAGCTTGGATTTGACATTAAGAGCCTTTTTAGCTATGCATGCACGTAAAGTTTGCAACTTTACGTGAAAAGCATGTCTTAGGAGCTTGGATCTGTAATTTGGAGCCATTGCATGGCTTAAAAGAGTCTGTATGGCTTAAGCACTGAAGGAACGCGAGTTGCAAGGTCGACTCGGCGAGTCATATGAAGAAAGGCCTGGACTCGACGAGTTGGATGAACAACTCGGCGAGTCCGATGAAGATTGCCATAGAACTCGACGAGTTGTATGAACAAATCGGCGAGTCGGTTGAAGTTTCCCCAATTTATGTATGCGTGTGTAACCGTCGAGTTGCAAGAAGGAAACTCGACGAGTGGCCTTAGAGTTCGATCATAAACCAAAGGAACTCGACGAGTCACTCCGGTGACTCGGCGAGTAGCCGAGGGTACTCGGCGAGTAAGGATCAACATGGACTGTTGACCTTGACTGAGGAATTTGACTTTGACCAAGGGTTGACTAGTTGGTTTATGGAGTACCTTGAAAGGTTGGGAACTGATGGATATGATTGTATTATGGTAATAAGTGGTGGAGTTTTTGGCAGTGATCTGAGAGTTGGAGTTTATCTACCGAGTCGACATCTGCAAGGTAAGTTATCCTCACTGTATCAAAAGGGTCTAAGGCACCAAGGCCGACCTTTTAGTTGTTATGGTTATGATATGATATATGCGATAATGATCTGATAGATCGGAATCAGGATAGATAGTATGTTATGTTTTTATGATCCTTAGGGATTGGTATGTTAGTGACCTATTGGGCCTGTGCTCTAGTTATGAGAGATTGTTATGATTGATGATCCGTAAGATAAATATATTTGATGTATGTATATGCTAGTATATGTTAGTTATGCGCACATGATTATTTGCTTGTTGGTTGGGTTGAGGCGGTCCTGCTTTGTTCTGAAGGCCAACATACCCTATGAGCGGTCCAGGGAGACTGTAGGCCCACGTGGCGGTCCAGTCATGCCGAAGGCTCGGTATAGATTCAGTTAGACTATAGGCCCTGTAGGGCGGTCCAGTCAGGCCGATGGCCCAGTATGCATGTTGATTGATTGATTATTACTGATATGATATTATCAGTGTGGTATTGATATTTTGGGGGTAGCTCACTAAGCCCTCGGGCTTATAGTTTACAGTTATTGTTTTAGGTACTTTGGGAGATTATAGTAGGGCGAAGGCGTGACCGTACCGCTCCTCATCCTTATGATCTGGATTTTGAGACACTCTGATTGAATAATGATTTGAAAACATTTTTTGTAAATAATCCCATTGGGTTTTATTTATGATTAAAAAATTTTAAATTTGGCGTAAAATTTATGGATGTTACAAAAAGGGACAAAACTGCAAGGTTAGTCTTTATAGTATTTAAAAAACTTTAAATAGGGTCCAAGAAGTTTTCAACTTGCATGGAAGGTCCAAAATCAAGGTTTTTCCATGTTTTTGGTCCCTGATACACTTGAAAAGTCGATTTTACTATTAACACTCATAAAATATGGTCCCAAAAATTTCATTTTTAAATCATAAATAAACCATAGTTATTAAAATCATCTCATCAAAACATAAGTCATAGTATCTCAAAATACCAGAAATGGTATATCCATATCAAAACATATGTCAAATATATAAGAGTAAAAATCCCAGGCTAACATCATGATGTGTACAATGCAGTCATCCCGAGCTCTTCCCTTTGCTACTGGATGTACCCAAAACCAAAACTTAAAACCATAAACACAAAGCTTAGTGAATTTCCCCCAAACTACCACATACCATACACATAACATGCCAATAGGAGATACGGGCCCTGCCCACACTCAGCTAATAGTAAGATACGGGCCCCGCCCACACTCAACTAACTAGGAGATACAGGCCCCGCCCATACTCAGCTAACTAAGAGACACGTACAAGTTTCACACAGACAACAAGCATAACCAAAACCAACCAATCCAATCCATTCCTTATCTATACTCAAGTAATGCTAAGATACGGTCCGTACGCACACAACGCTACTAATCAGCACACATAATATACATGGGCCGACATTGGTGCCTTTGACTCGTTCAGTCCTTGAGGAAACTCACCTCAAATGTCGGATGAGAGCTAAAACGTCTCTACCCCAAATCGGCTCTACTCAATCCCTGAACCAAAGCAACCGATTAGATGTCATTTCATACTCATATGTAACACCCCGTTTATTAAAGAAATAAATAAGATCAAATTAACGAAATAAATAAATGAACCCCAAGATGAGAAATATATATTTATATATTATTTTATTCGAGCCCTAAATCCATAATAGTTTAGGGATGTTAGCCATGGGAGTTAATTGTCATAACTGTTGGAATTGTGAGGTTAAGTGTAAATTTTGGAGCCACTTGGTAAAGATTTATGAGGGCAAGGGCTAAATGGTAATTTCCGGACTTAATTTGAAAAGATTTTGGAAATCAGGGTACAAATGGTAAATTTTGGACCTTGGTTGAAAAGATTCTCATGGGGAGGGACCAATCTGGTAAAATATGCAAAGGTTTATTAGGAGTGGGACTTTAACCCAATGTATTCTTCCCTCCTGTTACATTGCTCCATCCCAAATCCTAGACCGTCAATTCCTCAGCCTCCACTACCCCTTCGAAACGCCTTCATCCGCCGTTGCTTCGCTGGGGATCGCTGTCGTCGCAGTTCCGTACCCGAACCGTTGTGTATAGCTGGGATGGCTGCCAAGAACGACGATTGAGCTGAGTATTGTTGTTGCGAGGGTCGTGAGTGATCGGAAAACCACTGGTAAGCCCATCTGCCACCTTTCCCTCTCCTTTCCTTCGCTATTCTCGATGAGTCGACATTGTGTACGTTGGTTGCTGTCGTCTGCAGCCCTATGATCGCCGTTTTGGGTCGCCGCTGCTGTTGGTCGCCATTTCTGTGGAATTTCGGCTATGCCCTGCCACCTTGTAGGTGGCTGAGTGCGTGTGTGTTTGTCTTTAAGGGCTGTTTCCGGAACTAATAGTGAAGCATGTACGTTATTTTGGGCAGGAATCAAGATAATCCGCCACCACCACCATGAGGTGGTGGCTGTCATCTCCAACCACCATATGCCGCCATAGGTCGTTAATTGAGTGCATAACCCGGTGTTGTTGTGTTCCAGGTGAGTGTATGTGTGCGGTTGTTAAATAGAAAAACTCAAGGAAAACCACCATGGCTGCCATGTTGGCTGTCACTGGTAGCCGTCGCTGCTGCCGCCTTCCTGTGTCGTTGCCGCCACTGTAGGCCACCAGGTGGGTGGCTGAGTCCATTCCAAGCAGCAGAACGTGTGTGTGTGTGTGTGTTTTGTGTGACCAGAATACCAAGAAAAGGCCACCACCACCATGTGTCACCGTCGGCCACCACTAGGATGGCTATGTATGTGTTTATGTTAATTAGTGTGTGTGTTTCTTTTTAGATTAAAGCATTGTAATTGTAATTGGCAAAAGAATAATGAAAAGAAACTCAAAACCACCACTGTAAGGTGGTGGCCACCTCCGTGAGCCGCCGTTAACCACCACTACCCGAGGTGGTAGTGGGTGGTGCCCGACTAGCAAAACCCTAATTGACATAATGAAACCCTAATGGGCTTAAAGATTTAGTTTTGGGCCTATTGGGCTATGATTGGGTGGGAAACCCTAATTAGGGTTTAGAAAACCCTAATTTTGGACATATGGGCCTTGGACTCATTATGACCCACATTTGGGCCATTGGAATTTCACAATGAATTACACCCAATCACACCATATGATTTATCTAGTAGAG